CACTTTATGGAATCGCAGAGCAGCATCAAGAAGTGCAATTAACATTGAAGTGTGCATGTCTATTGCGCGCATCTGTTCGGTACACCTGTTTGACGGTGTGAATTTATGGCGGTCTCGATGCATAGGAAAGCGCTCCTTCCAACCGATGCGTTATGGTATTACTTACGGAAAGAGGTGCAATACTCGTTTATGTGACCACCTTGTCTAGCAGTTACATGGGTGTTTGTCTTGCCCTGGTGTGCGTGGCTGCTCTTGGAGCAAAAGCAAGCTCCAATTCCCTCTTACCCTCCTGGAATACATACATTTAGACCTAGTGGAAAGTCTCAGAACGCCACAATAGGGACTGATAAACAAAAGGCTCAATCATAGCAGCAAGTCTTGTGCAATCATTTATTTTTATGTTTCACTTATGCTGTTCGGCGTATGAACCATAAAATAGCACCATAGATAATATACAAGAGGGCTTTGTAATGCTTTGTTTATGTGACCACCTGATGTCTGGCGGCGACTTTGGTATTCGCCTACCTCTAGTACGCTTAGGCTGGCCTTCGGGTCTCCCCGTCTTATCTTCCTAGAATGCATGTATTTAGCCCAACCTAATACCTTCTTGTACCTACTGAGAGGTCTCGGGGTTCAACAATGCGGCAACAAAAAGCGCACCTGACTTTCAAACGACTTTTATTCGATTGTCCACCGTTTGTAATATATATGCGGCGCGGTGGAAGCGCATATTACTTCGGGAGGGACAGCCGAAGGGTTAAAGATGATATTTACGTTCAGCTCCACCCTGTCTTCGTGTTCCACGGACAAGCTCTTAACAAATGAAGCAATACCATTGTCGGAATACCCCCTCTGGCCATCCGCAACAAATGTGGGATATGAAACTACACCAAATCCTCTTAATATACGGGAATATTTGGTCCCAAATTCCTTGTTATGCACCTGATTTAGACCAATGTGCCTACGTTCTGCTCCGGACTCGAGTAATAGTTGTACTATCTTGTTTGTGTGACCATATCACGTTTGGCGGTCACCTTAGGATTTGTCTGGTCTTTGTACAAGAAGGCTGGCCCTCGGGTCATGCCCAGGCTCATTTGTTCTGCCATCTTCAGAATACATGTATCCAGCTGCATTTACTGACGTCTCGAGACGCTACACTATTCGACAGAAAATATTCTCTACCATTCTTGCCCTCAAACCCAACGTCACCACAGATTCGGCTGAAGTTTCTGATAAGGCCAACTGTAGTCCCTTGGTCTTATGGTACCTCATGCAGGGTTGTGATGAATACCGATTATGCTCCGATGGACGGGAAAGCCAAGGTCTTCGCTCAAAAGAGTTGGTAAGGTGACCGTCACTAAAGAAGTCTAGGACGGCTAAAGAAAAAAATATAGAACATAAAATTATATTATTTTCAACGTGTTTTCATACAAGGTTTTAACAAAGAAAAATTATTTAAACTTTAGGACGTGATAACTTTGCTTTACAGTAAAAGTCACAACACATGTTTTAAAATTATATAGGATTTTATAATTAATGTTCCTTTTTTTAGAACATTGCATTTGTTTTTGCAGTTGATATTTGTTATAAATGGTTTGTAATCCAATATTATTGATTACTGATTTTCCAATACTCTTTATTCTCTCGCACGTCTGCCCTTGTTTTAGCGTTTCATCTTAATTTTCATTTACCAATAGCATTTAACTTTACCCCTTAAAAGGGTTGCTTGTTTGAAAGCAGAGAAATGTGTTACAAGGAGTCTGGCCAATCATCGCCGAGTTTAAAGGATCGACTTCAAAAATTGGATGAAATAGAATCAAAAATTATGCAAATTATGCAGTCAGCTGGAGGTACTCTGGACGAGTTGTCAAAGGACGTTCCTTCGCAAAAGCAAATCGAAATATATGCTCGCAGTTTCAGGGATGCTGTTCGAGATGTGGAGCTTGAGCTAATTTCCCAATTAAACTACCTTAGTCAAGTGCTGGCTGGTCTTCCTTACGAAAAGAATGTCTACAAAGAAACAATTGATCTGACTATTGCAGCGGAACGTCTCAAGAATGTGGAAAAAATATTGTCCAAAGCTTTGTGATCATTCTTTAAATAAAACTTGCCATTGTTTTTATTTTTTTTTTGTAGCTGATTGGTGATTCATCAACGATAATGGTTTTTTGCGCACAATAGTCTCTTCACGCAGATTCAACTCAGGACGGTCTACCGGTGAAGAATGAAGTCAGCAATCTTCTTTTGAGGACTGATGCGGTAGAATCCGATCCTGCCGTTACCAGCACAGTTAATGAATCCGAATTAAGCTATTCTGATTCGTCCAGCGGGAAGACAGAGGTTCCTCCTTCAGCAAAGCCTCATTGGCGATTTTGTTCAGTACAAACGGTGAACTCGCCCCACTTTTTCAGAAGTGAAACACCCCAAACATCTGTACATGAATTTGAAATCCCCGAATACGAGTTTGATGATGAAATACCAGACCTTGAAGGTGACCTAGGTAATTAGTTTTAGTTATCTTTCACATAGTATCACACTTTCCTTGTCTGCCATGCTTGCTACTCAGTCGTCATTCGTGAGAATAAACCTCCTCATTTCGTCCTCAAGAATTCTGGAATTCTCAGTTCTCCGGCTTCTTTTTTGTCGCTTGGAGTGTTTGGTTATTAGCTTGACCGTCACACACTTTGGCTCATTTTTAACTCACCTCTGGCATTCGACCTGCCTTTTTTCTAATGCTGTTCTTTATGGACTTGGAATTTTGTCAAATTAAGGAAGCGTCCATATCCCTTCATCGTCTCAAGTGGTCTTTTCTACGAATCCACTCGCGCGTCATAATTTTACTCTTTTTCATCGCTTTTAAGTTCAACCGGCTGTCACCCATCGTGTTAGCCTGATGCCCTCTGGACTCCACTCTATAGTAGGACCACTGGTTTAAATCTTATTGACTACCGATTTTGCATCTACTTTGGGATTGCTTCAATCCTAATGATGTTTAAGAACATATAGTGCTTGAAAAGTCTGTCTTATTTCTAACACCGTTGCTCATTGTGCCACCAACTTTTTTCTCCATTTTTCGCTTCTAAGACGATGACGGCTTCGGAGGACCAATGACTCCTGAGGAATTTATTGATGAAGACTTTGAACGCGAACTGGGTTGGTATGAAAAGGCAAGTGCGAGATCCTCTACGTCTTAAACCCATCGCCCACAAGTGTTTGTGTCACTATTTTCTGTCTGGAGTAGGATTGTAGAAACATCATCAATCATTTTGACCTGCGTACATTTTCGGTGCCTTACTACTTTACCATAAACGTCCTTTGAGTAATTAAAATCCATCAATTCTGCAACATTGCGTGGTGTATCTTGACTCTCCCATCAATCGATTTCAGATGCTGTAAATAATTGGAAAAGTACTCACCATTGACTTAAAATTGACGCGGGGCAGCCGAAACATATCGTTTTTAATAACTACATCTTTTGAATAGTGATAGACTGCTAGTCCTCATGAACTTTGGAAATGCACAAGCTTATCCAGTGTATGGCGTTAGGTAATAGTCGGTTCTGTAATATCACTTTCCAAGGCAAAAGTATTCGCTTTCCTTTGCACTTTCCACGGTTACGAGGTGTGAGGAAGCACAACATTTAGAGTCTACTGATGCTTCGAAAGATGAAACTTTTGTTTCCTTATTCTTGATTTCCTTGTTTCCGTTGCACTATGCCCAATTTGCAGCACAGTCTCCAAACTGTTAGGCAAATGAACAAGTTAACATCTGCGCAAGATGCTTGGGAAGTTTCGTCCGGGTAAATCTGTTTTTGCAATACGTTTTTTCCTTAAAAAGGTTGCTTCCACAGCAAGTCGGCTAATTGGAGATTTTCCATACTTTGTGCAATCCTCATATGGCCACCTTCACGTTGAACTTCTGTATACAGGTTTAGGTCTCTCCTATCCCATTTGTCGCTCCTCAGAGTTTGTTTCTTTAACCCTACGTTGTCCTTTTATTAAGCAGGACCACTGATGACATTTTATTGCTTCCAGTGATAGTTCTATAGTTAAGCTTGGCTTTGACCGGTAATGTTGGCGCCACCCCTAACTTTAAGCCTTAGCCTGGTTGAATTGGTCTAGGGGCAGTTTTAACCAATGTGATATTGAACAACTCGCCTAGATTCCCCTGATAGCAACTTTCAAACCACCTTTGTTCATTTCTCTTTATACACCACCGTTGGAAGGTTGGGATAATTTATTTATTCATGTCTTTAGTTAAAACCAATCAAAATTCGAAATCTTGCAGCCGTTCTAAGCTGTATTAGTGATATACGTGAAGTTTTTTGTTCACGCCATTTCAGTTAAGCCTAGTAGTAAATGGGTTCTATTTTGTTGACCACCGTTTTTCCTGATTGGCCAGATCATGCAGTCGATTCACTTCTACCACCCACTAAGATCGCCCAATTCAACACACGTCTATGATTGTCGATTTGCGGCTTCTATATGGTTCCAACATCGACATTACTAACCTTATTTGTTTTATGCAATTGTTTTTTTTGTTGATTTCACATCAGCAAGGTGCTTAGATAATGAACTTCGTGATCAACGTGATAAATAAAAAAATGGTGGTTAATTTGCTTTCAGCCATGCTATTACCTCGTTTTAGGCGATGCTGTGCACTACCTGTTGCTTGTTGTTTCCTGTGCATCGCCTTTCCTTACTTATTTCAATCCTGCAAACTCACTCCAACCGATACGCCTTATAGTTGTCTGCCGCTACTTCTATCCGTGCAGTGCCGATTCCTTCCATTAGCCTAAATGATGTGTCACCGTCATAGACTCAAGGAAACAGAATACAGACGGGTAATTATGCTGCTAAAAAATCCCTTTTTCCCCTTGGGCGTCACCTTCGACTTGCCTTCTGGCATCAACATTGAACTTCCTTAATGTCAATGAATCTCCCCATGCTCAGCTGTGTGCCCCTTAGGACTGAGCAATTTGCTGCGGTATTGGCTGATTGCATAGTAAACCATCAGTGTTGCGGTAATACTTACTGTAAGCATTTGGATGCAGGGTGATAAAAAATTGCGAGGATTGATGTCTGCATTGGTTCCATCAACATTAAACAAACATTTGTGTGTGTAATTACATTACCTACTTAACCCATCTTTTATCCCCATTTGGAGAACTAACAACTCAAGCATTTAAACCCGTCAATCTTGACCCCTTGATTAAGCTTCCTTTCCTCTCCTCAAATCTCTTTCGCGTAATCACAGCTTTTGAAGTACTTACTACGCTTTCATGATTTCTCTGGCTTTTACCGCCCACAAGTACGGTCGTAGTTTATATGAATTTATGCCAGTCATCTCCTTTCACAGTCGCGCGCACCGTTGTATGGTAACTTCTGCTCTAAGATGAATTGCGTTTGGTTATTTCCCCAGATCACCTGTAGCGGTCTAGTAAAAGTGGAACAAAACGTGGGAAAGCTATTTGTGTGGGGAAGTAGAGATTAACTGTCATATGAATCCTTGATGCTTGTTTTGATGAAATCGTGAGAAATTTGCTCTACTTATCTGTCATCATCCCAATCTTTGGGACGCTTCTTGAGTACTGAAAATGCATAGTTCAGTTATTTAAAGTAGTCACTTTCCTCCAAATCTCCTCTGACACCCCCCATATACATCCAGTTGCTCGTTGCCTCCCACTGTGTTCGGGGCGTCCACATTAAGTGCCTTAAGGTGTGTTGATTTCTGGTTAAGTTTTCGCCGTGCTTCGGAAATTTCAACACAAGTTGCCCCTCATATTACTCTTTGAGCTTTAAAAAAGAAATGTTTTGCTGCTCACTGAGAGCAAATGTCACACAATCTGGCAGGTGTTATCGGCGATGGTATTTGAAGGTTGGGTGCTGGGTAAAATGAAGAGACTCTGCGCAAATAACGCGCTTTCAACGTAATTGGGAACTCGTAAAGTCCACTCAGTTAAGTACATTCGTTGTTGGCGTTTTCCGCGATTGTTCTTTGCAAGGCGGTCATTCGGGCATGTTTGGAATGTACGGTAGTACCATCGGAATAGACGCTTACCATCTTGACTTCCGTGGCTTCCTTTTGCAGGAACTTTCCATTCAAGAAGTTATCGACTCAGAATTCCGTGACATCTCCCGACTCGGTATTATCCAAGTTGGAGTCACCGATCACGATGGCCGAAGTGTCTTTGCCTTCTTCGCCTGTCGTCTTCCCAACACCGGTCTCATCGATCACGATCGGTTGTTGCAGTGAGTTGATAGGTGGTAATGTTACTAATGAAGGCTGAGAAAGCTGTAAACATGACTCGACTTGGTGGAACATTCTGCGAAGGCTTAGGGGCTCCCATAGTCAAACCTAATATCGAATCACTGTTGTTTCCTTTTTTTGCTTGTACTTTGGCGATTGAATTGCGGAATGTTTACGACGACTCTATTAGCCAAAATTCTCACTTGCAGTCTCTGGGTGGGGAGATGATTATGTGCGAATTTAGATCACGCGTTATGATTGTCAGTTTTTCTGAAGCAGCAGTCTTTCGTGCTTTAGAAATCCCTGATTACAAGTACCCGAGGTGTCGTCACTGATAACGTAGGGGTGTGTGAACACCTTGGAACTTCTCACTGCTAAGCAGCTGAGTGCTTCACCTCCCCACCCAACTGTGCTTGAACTGTCTGCATACCCTCGGGTTTGAGCTCTGTATCCTCTTCCTTGCTAATCGGTGTTAGATGCACACACCACAACCTCTAGTGTCTAGTCCATGGACCGTACATGTCCAATGACATGGGCGTGAACCTTGAGCACCGTTGCTCTTAATTGAATTCCCTTATTACTGACTTTGTGTGTTCATTAACCATGCCATTATTAAACTCAGTAATAGATTTTCCCACTATCACAAAATCCTTCTTGTGGATAATTTCTGTGAAATTTCGCTTCGCTATTGGCGTTTCTGGCGATGCCTTTTCAGGTATGTGACAAAGACTCTTGAGCAGTACGCGTCTTCGGACTACACTTTGGTCTACTTTCACTGGGGTCTGACGAGCCGGAACAAGCCCAGCTTTCCCTGGCTTGCACGGGCCTATCAAACTTTTGACCGAAGGTGAGATTTAGGGCCAGTCCTCCTCGAACTAAGTGGTGGCTTTTTTTTTCACAATCGTGTCAGATTGCATTTCATTTGCGAATTTGTGTCGTTTCATCAGCGTCTCTTGTTTCAATTGCACTGATTCTCTCATCCACTAGGCTTTGGCTTTCACGTTTGCATGTCACTTGCCACTTTTACTTTGTTGCTTTTCACGTGATTTTAAGCGTTGTAGTACCTTATTTTTCCACTGGGTCAAGTTAATGCAACTTCATTCAGTGCAGTTATTTGGCCTTTTTTAGCTTCAAGAAGAACCTCAAATCTCTTATCATCGTCTACCCAACTCGTACTGTTTGTGTGCTCTGGAACTTATTCAGTGCCTTTGTCAGGTAAGGCCTCCTCACGAGGATTTTCGCAATTAAAATATTTTGAATTCTTCAAACGAAACCGGGACTATTCTGGCCTCAGTCTATGTAAACATAAGTAACTTTCCTACATTCTTCCTTTTTTCTGTGGTTGTTTAAACTCTTACTTTGGTCCATAAATGGTCTTTGAAATCTAAAGATGTGTGGCTCCTTTTGTTCGGTTTTGATCCTTATATGGTGATTATTTTTATACTGAAACCTTTGTCCACTGAGCACTTCTCACACTGGCTGGAACGTCCACCAATGTGGAAGAGAACCACCACCACTACTGCCATTGCTGCTTCACTTCTGGAACACTTATACAAGCTGAATTTCCGTTGAAAAGCAGTCACACCTGCATTATTTCTGAGTGTTTTTATGCGCTTGTAGGCTGATCCATTCCGTGCAATGCTGCGCTCTCATTGGCAGTAAAATGCGCTTTGATGCCTCCGTCTCATTTATGTACTTTGATGCACAAAGCCATGGAGTCATCAATTTTTGAACGCCTCTTGCCTTATTCACTCGTCACACGCTTTCCATTGCTGGTGCCATGAGAAGCTCCTCTTTGTCACCTTAACCTTAAAAGTGGTCGACTGGTTGTCAGTGTCATGGAATAGTTGTGTGGGAGAGACACGCAACAGAACGACAATTAAAACTTCATTGGTCCTGCCTGATTTAATGTGAGGAACAGATTGTAATAAACATCGCTTCAATCTCCTCCCAGTAAAGGAGACAATTCGTGTAATCTAAGTCAAGTGCCAAAGCTACGATTAGTCCACACTGATCACCTTTTTGGCCCTACTTCAGCTCCAAAATGAAGAAGAAGCTGCACTACGTTAAAAACCTTCATGATTTGGAGGACTATCTTCCCGTTTCTCAGTTGCGTCTTCCTCTACGGATTCGTGAGTATGTTTAGGAGCCATCCTTTCTTTTATCTTACCGAAGGCAGAGTCATGTTTTGTGCACCTCTGACTGACTATTTGTGCAGTCCAATTACACCTTGACTTGATCATGTATCCTGTTATCGCCCTCCACCTTTATCTTCGAAACAAAACATTAAAAATCTCTTGTTTTTTGTGCCGTTTCCTCTACCTTAGCTACGACAGTAAGATAGGTCTCTTTGGAGTGTCTTTGTCCATTGATCCTGCAGCCGTCTCTGTGCTCGGAGACCACGATATTGAGGATGGACCTTACAATGATTGTCAACAATTTGGCGTATCTCTAGAATAGTAAGTTGACGTATTCCCTTCTTCATGCGTTAGCTTTGCTTTGATGTATCGTCTGTTGTAGTTGGCACTGTGGCGCTTGGCTCTTGTCCACACTTGACCACGGTCTGATGTGTGTACCTTAACTTAGTGTCCTCTATTTGCCAACTTGAGTAGTGTGTGTTGCTTTCGCTCCTCTCCTGGACTGTTTTGCCTCGCTAGCCATAGAATGTTACTGAAGTCAATTATCACCCTTATTAGGAATACCGTTTGGTTTTTGTTTAAATTCTCCTCTTGCTCCCTGTTGCGTTCCTGCATTTCATTGTAGCATTAAGGCCAACAACGGTGGACGCAAGCTACCCATTGTTGTTGAAGACACTATAACCTATCTTCGGGGCCATGGTGAGTTTCATTACCAATCTTCTGTTTAGATAATTTCATCCTTTAAATCCTTAAGTATTCTCCCATATTCGTAGGTCTTGACACCATTGGTCTGTTCGTCAAACCCGTTCACTTAATGGCACTTCGCGACGTCCAATCCATGTATAATCGAGGTTGGTTGTTTCAATCGTCACCACGCTTACACCACCTAGAAATGTGATTGATAAGCTTCTTTGCTACATTCCATTTGCTTTCAGGTGAATACGTTGACCTATGTGAGATCAACGACCCTCACTTAGCTGCCCACTTATTGAGATCCTTTCTCACCGATTTGAAAGAGCCCCTTCTAACCTTTGACCTCTACGAGAGCATTCTCAAATCTTGTAGTAAGTCAGAAAAGTTGTGTTTTTGAAATCTCAAAACACCATCTTTTAATTGCTCAGACTTTTTGATTTCCTTGTACTTACAGAGG